AAGCTTCGTAGAGCGGCGGGAGAGGGGCGGAAAGCGGGCATGGTGCGTCAATTGCGGGTGCGGCGTTGGATGGAGCGACGCAGAGGCGTGATATAGTCACGGCGACGGTGAATTGAGTCACAGGGCGTGTTGTGACTCTTGTGAATTATTGTCTGTCAAGCCGCACTAGGACGTGACGCATGTGGGTGGAGATGCTGGGGTCGGGGCTAGCGGCCGCGGCAGGCACGGGCACACGTCGCTCCTGGGCTCTTATCCGGCGCCCAGCGAGTGGCTGAGTTCATGACGAGATGGACAACGTCAACCAACGTCAACCAGTTCCCAGTCCTTCTTGTTTCCTCTCGCCCCGACCCCGACCGGCACCAGCACCCCGCCCGTCATGTCCGTCGCCTGGACCCCCCTACGCCTGAAGATGGACGAGGACAACGCTGAGCAGCAGTGGGGCTCCAGCGCCAACGACACCCGCACGCCTAGTTCGCGACCCGTCTCGCACAAGTCGGCTCGCTCGTCGCGCTCAGCCCGCTCCCAGCAATCCAGCCGAACCACGGAGCAGACGCCGCTGCTGTCACAGCAAGACCGAGACGAGCACCAGAGACCCGATGACCAAGACGAGAGCACCCCCGCGACACGTTCGTTGCTGCGCTCCTTGAGCGGCGGCTCCGACAAGAGTGGCAGTGGCAAAGTCGCGCTGTGGAGGAAGCGATGGCCGAGCATACTCGCTCTCGTCCTGCTGTGTCTGCTCGTCATCTTCATCATGCTGGGCTTCCTAGCCAAGGAAAGCATCGAGGAGTACTCCATGCAGGCCGCTGACTTCAAGCCCACCAAGCTCTCCATGGACGGATTGACCGACCATGGTGCCAAGGTGCACATACAAGGAGACTTCACCATGAACGCGAGCAAAGTGAAGAAGCAGAGCGTGCGCAATCTCGGCCGCTTCGGCACGTGGATCGCCCACGAGGCTGAGACTGGGCCCTTCGATGCCGACGTCTACCTGCCCGAGTATGGCAACGTCTTGATCGGCACGGCCAAGATACCCGCAGTCAAAGTGGACATCCGGAATGGACACACCACACGCGTTTCCTTTGTTGCAACTGTACAACCCGGTTCGCCCGACGGTATTCGTAATGTCGCCAACGACTGGATCGATGGCCGACTAGGGCAGATAAGGCTCAAGGCCAAGGCCCAAGTCCCGTTGAAGTCGGGATTGATCAATATTGGCAAGCAGCTCGTTGAGCAATCCATCGTCTTCCAGGGACGCGACATTCCAACCCTTCCTCACTACAATATTACAAAGCTCAACCTTGGTGAGGCTAAGCATGGTCAGAAAGGGCTTGGTGCCGACGCCTCCATCGTCGTACAGAACGACTTCCCTGTCCAGATCACGCTGCCTCCTGTAGCTGTCGATGTTGGTATCGAGGGCTGTTCAGCATCCGACAAGCACATCATGGTAGGAACTGCTCAGACTGGCAAACTCGACATCAAGCCAAATTCAAATGTCAAAGTCGATGTTACGGGCAATGTCGCCAAGCTCTCAGATCCATTGACCCAAGTATGCCCCAACTCAGCCAAGTCTCCGCTTGACGCTTTCTTGGGCGATTACATGAAGGGCCAGGACGCGACCATCTACATCAACTGCTGCAAGTTTCCTGACCCTGCCACACCCGACTGGGCTCGTGAGCTACTAAAGGACATTACCGTTCCAGTTCCCTTCGCCGGAAAGTCCATGGGAAACATGATCAAAAACTTCTCTCTGGCCGACATGCACTTCAGTCTGCCCAACCCATTCGCTGAACCTGGCACGCCCGAAGCTCGTCCCAAGATCTCCGGCATTGTCAACGTCGATATTGGCCTGCCACACGAGATGAACTTCCCCGTTGATGTCACCCAGGTCAAAGCTGATGCTGACATTTACTACCATAAGAAGAAACTTGGAAAGATGAACCTAGAAAAATGGCAAAAGGCAAACTCCACCCGTATCGAAGGTCATGGCTCAGACGGACCGTCTCTCTTGGTCCAATCTGTCATCAAGAACGCACCCATTGAAATTCTGGATGACAACCTCTTCAGCGAGGTCGTGCAAGCTCTACTTTTCGGCGGCAAATCGGTTTTGATGGATCTCAAGGCCGCAGTCAGTATTGGTGTGGATACGCCTATGGGCAAGCTCGCTGTGCGAGGAATTCCGGCGCAAGGTGTCGTACCAGTCAAACGTTCGTAACCAGTTCGTGATCCAAGTTTGGCCGCATCTCCTGCACATAGCTAACTTTTGGCGTTCAGCAATTGGTCACGGCAAAGACACCCAGCCCGGCGATGGTAAAGACGAGGCAAGCAAAATCAATGTGCAGGTGGGCAATTTGTCCATCACCGACACCTCGCCTACTTCTCTTACAATCACCGCCCTGGTCAACTTTACTAATCCTTCGAAATACTCCGCAACGGTTCCTTACTTCAACATTAACATTCTGGCCAATGGCTCCCATATCGGTAGCGCAACGGTCAAGGATATGGAAGTTTCTCCCGGTAACAACACAAACAAACTTGCATCCGTTCTTTGGGATCCTTACACCTATGGTGGTGAAAAGGGGAAGAAGATTGGTGCAGAGTTGCTGTCTCAGTATATCTCCGGTACGTCAGTGTTAACCATGACTACGATCAACTGAACTAATACGCCCAACAGGCTACAATACCACTATAACTGTCCAGGCACACGAAAATTCCGTCCCGTCTGTCCCTTACATTGGCCGCCTGCTCTCGCAATTTCCCATCGAACGCCCTATGCCGCACATGTCAACCCCCAAGAAGCCGTGTGATAGTGATGATTGCGACGACCCGGAAGATGATGGCAGGTCCCACTTCATCCGTGGCACTACCATGCATCTCATCACAAGTACAGCCGTCTTCACTCTTGCATCACCTTTCCGCGCTACAACAATGTACATAACTAGCATGGACGCGACGGCCTATTACGAAGGTCACACAGCTGGGAAAATCGTTTACGACCTTCCTTTCGCTGTGCCTCCTGGCCTTTCTGAATCGCCGCGCTTACCCGTTGACTGGTCATTCGGTAGCCTTGGGTATCAGGCCATCAAGAGAGCACTTGGTGGGCAGTTGAAACTTAGCGCTTTCGCGTACGTGGGTGTTCGCATTGGCGAATGGCGAGAGGATATATGGTTCCAAGGTGGCAAGATCGGAGCGAATGTCCGTCTTTGATGCTCCGAAAACAGGTTGGGTCTAGATCTTCAGGCGTGATGATAGGATTGCATTCGTGTGTACATTAGGATAAGTTGAACAGGATGGGTAAGACAGAACCCGCTTGACAACGTCGGGTATATCTTCAAGGCAGGAGGCGTTTAGGTTTATGAAATTGCTAGCATGACGCTCTTGACGTGTCAATATGAGACATGTCTCTCCCTTGATCACGTTCGTATCTTGATTCCTATTTCGAGCTCCCCCCGCTTTGCAAGCGGATCTCGGTGTCCTTTTGGACCATAGTCTAATTGGTCTCTTGGCTTGATACAGTACCCGCACTGGACTATCACAGGTGAACCCCCTCTTTACACGCCTTTCATACGTCTTTGTTATAAAGGACTAGCGATATTTCGTGGATCTGAGTGATAGAATGTCACCATATTATCTTAGCGTAGAAGCAGCTTTTACTAGTGGAACGATGACGGTATATTAACTCTACGATCTGTTCAACTTGTTCAACCGAGACAGGGCCAGGCAAGCCTTCCTAGTCGTGGATTCTGAAGGGCAGGTGACAAGGGGCATGTTCAGCTAAACTATACTTCATCATATTGAAATGCGCTAGCGCAAGGGTACCACACAGGGCAGGGGCCAAGGGTCCACCGCTTATACTTGCTCACTTCCAAGACGAGCTGAAATCGCAAACGCCCAAAAGGTACTTGGTGTGATGACTGAGCCAACAAGTGATAGGGGTCCCGGCAAAAAAGAAGCATTTTCAGGTCTCAAATCAAGAGTGTTTCGATATGAGCCCATACCTTCACCGCAGAACATATTAACGGCGTCACTGCGGCGTTTCCGCTGAGTGATTGAGCGAGTCCATGTCTGCTTCATCGCGATGCTCGATTGTCGATGGTTCTCGAAGTCAATTTCCCATCTTTTGACCTTGCTGCAAATCAGCCATGTGGACACTCGATTAGCGGAATATACCGAGCCGTTTGACGCCAAGATTCGTGTCACCAGGGCATGGTAAACCAAGTGGAAGCTACTGGAACGACAAAGCAGTCGGCGATGACCATATGCTGGATGGATCCAGGTGCTGAGGGAAGTATTACTAGATATGTCACTACCTAAACGTGATTGGGTTTAGCATATCAGCTCGCTGGCCGTGGCTGGCCGTGATTGGCCGAGGAACACTCGCCCGGCACTAAAATTTCCCTCCCCGCGTATCGAACTTCAGCGTGCATCTGTGTTAACGTCACGGCACTCTGCAACATGGGAACCAGGGGCTTCGTCTTACACCGTCGGAAGGCGGGCTTCGCGTACTACAAATGCACTGAATCGACCCTTCTAGACCGCTACCTCTAGCGCGGATCCTATGATTTTACTGAGCGCTGCAAGATTACTTGAGAGTTGGCCCTTCAGGTGGCGGATATCGCAGCTGCAAGAGAGGCTATGAGAACGTTTTTGTCACATGGTTTGGGTTGCAGCTGAAGTCTTGTGTGATACAGGTTGTTGCGTTTCCGCCATTTTTGCTGGCCGCCCGGTGCTCCGAAGATTCTAGGCGCAGCATACCTAACCAAGCTTACGGCATCGTCTGGGAGTTGGCAAAAGCCGGTGTATAGCCTTTTGATCGTTCGATTATTCTGCTTTCACCCGATCACTGGCTGCGATCACCAGCTAGGATGCCAAGCTAAGTCTGTGAACAGGGGGGTCCAGAGAAACGAATAGTCCTTCGATATATACCTTCCATATGACATCGCCCAAAATTCAGTGACTAGTAATAAGCGTTCAACACGGCCCTGCGGCAGCGGCACATCAAGATGGACTTCTCTAACCTACCTGCCTTCTCCATGGCTGCGAGCAACCCATTGTACTCTCCCAACAGCGATGCTTTTCCATCACCGGATGAAATCGACGCATACCTTACTGAGTCGTATCCCGCGCTTTCGGACTATGGTTTCAATAGCTACAACAATAGGAGTAGCTCATGCTTCGACCGATCCATCACACCAGGAGACTCAGATCTCAATTGGAGAGCACCGGTATCCAACAGCTATATCAACAACCCATCGCTCGTCACTACAACCAATGCAGTCTCGAACCCCCCTCAGAACGCATGGTCAAATTATAACCCCTCGCCGCTGAGCTGTCCAGCCGACCTTCAACACACCTATCCCGAAACCGGATTCCCCGGCGGCTTTGCCTCAAACCCCTCTCCCTTGCCAACTCCCCCTCGCTACGGCAGCCCAACTTCGCCTTCACCAATCGCGACGCACCACCCCTCTCCAGAAGATACCAGCCTTAAGCCGCCTGCACCACGCAAGCGGGGCCGTCCTCGTTTGCACCGCCCTGCCTCAGAACCCTCTGCTACCACCGCCGCCGTCAACAAAATCACCCGTACGCAATGCATGCCCCACACCGAAGTCGAACGCAAATACCGCGAGAAGCTCAATGCAGAGCTAGAGCGGTTACGTCGGGCGGTGCCCATGTTACCACAGTGCGACAACGGAGATACAGGTGCCGTGAAACCTAGTAAGAGTATGGTGCTCGCGGTTGCTATTGACTATATCAAAGAGCTGGAGAGACAACGAGACGCGGCGGTTGAAGAGGTGGAGAGATTGGGAGGTAAAATGAGATTTGGGAGGACAGCAACCAAAAAAGGGGGGGATGGAGACGTTTGAGCGGCAGTGCTGGTTTTGTCGTGTTGTGAAGAGAGGGCGATCAAAAGTTGGGTCCTGCGTTTCACGTCTTCCAGGCACTTGATCTGCGGGTGCAGATCCGTAAGCTACATTCTGGATATGCATGCATTCTCAACTCTACCATACTTTATGCGGAACAGATAAAGGGCCGTAAGGCATGGTTGGCTACATGCCATGTGCTGCATAAGATCTCGAGCGCAATTCATTGGACCTGTAACTGACACGTAATATGCGGACATGAGGTTAGATACCCCAAGTAATGTTTTGTTAGCTGGGAGGTGATTCTGTAGCAAGATGTTTGACAGATACACGGTAGCGCTTGTGCTACCAGCAGACATATAAGTTTGCTAGTTCTCCTCTGTTATACAATAGTCCTCTGGTGCTTCGAGTAAATCATATTGAGCCAGTGACAACAGGCAACGATTCTTCACTTATATAATGTATTTATATACTTCGTTCATGGATCATGCCCTGCTAGGCAATAGCAATTCTTTACACAAGGACATTCGGATATTGTGGGCTGTGTCTCAATGTGAAGAACTACTTACAATTATTTGGAAACTCTGTATGTCATGATCATATTACCCTTTGGCTCGAAGACACAGTCTCATAAACTCGCGTTTCCTTTTTTACAGTCACTCGTCGTCACAACCTATGCTTAAATGCTGGGTTCATTCGCGGCATGCTCGATCTACCTCATAATCCCTCCACTTGTTCGCACTTCTCCTTCGCCAGGATATTCCTATCCCTGTATTTATGTTAGGCCATGCCCAAGGAATCCTTTTGTTCCACGCAAACTGCAGAAGATTTCGCACGGAGTTAGCATGTGTCTTGAGGTAAACACAGTAGTGAAAGACAATGACAAGCAGTTGGTCGACAGGCGTTCAATGCATGTAGGCGACGTTGATACGTACGTCCAAAGCACTCCTGCTACCCCATTTGGTCTTACCTGCCTAAGCTTCCCAACTGCGTCTACCAATCGGTACCTTCCCTGAGGGCGACTATGCTTACATGCATCACACAACCACATATCCGACATACAAAGTCAACGCATCAACACTCAAAGCAGACGACTTATCTACCTCTTTGCAGTAAAGCTATGTAGACCGGAGCAAAGTACGTTGCATTGGCATTTTTGTTGAGGTAGCAATACAGGGTTTCAGATAAGCATCACTCTGTAATAGATGAGTTATGGCTGGGGCTAGCGAGACGCGGCTGCGTGCACAGATACGTATTTGATTGTGAGAATAGGCGGATAAAGCGGCGTGCAAACCCCAAGATGCTATCAGGAAGGCAAGGACGTTAAATTAGGATTTTGGATAGTGGAGAAGGTATGTAAGATATCGCGGGGGGAAGCTATTGATGTGCGCTTGGTCTGAGATCCACACGTTCGTTCGCCCGCCCCTCCTCTCCAACCTCCCCTCCCACTAGCGCACATCGTTCGCAAGCCACGCATCCAACGAGTTTGCTCGGCGCTCACACCATTCTCAGACCACTGACACGTAACTCGATGGCGCTTGAGATTGCCGAGCGAGACGAGGCGGGGAACTTGGTGTTAGAGTATCTTGCTGAGGCGCAGGGAACGAGGGTTGACGTGATTGTATGTCACATGCACATTTCTCTATCAGGCTTGGTTCTGCGATCTGAACTTCCTCCTCAGAACTTAGATTGGGAATCTCGATCGAAGTCATGGTTCAACCCATGAAAGTAAGGCCAACAAACAATTTCGCTAACGCAACACACCCCTCATCTTAGTATCCCAAAGAAGCGAAGAGCTATGCGCAACGCCTTCTTGGTGTTTTCTTACCAGCAGGGTATCCGCAGAGTGTGACGGAGGATTATATTCATTACCAGATCTATGTAAGTCTATTGCGACCTTTGCCATCTTGACAACGGCTGGCGTTGTGATGATGATGGGATGAGAAGCTGATAGGAGAATACGGCACAGGACTCGCTTCAGGCATTTTCTTCCTCGATTGCAGGGCTGTTGGCATCGAGAGCTGTGTTGGAAGGTATGTTTCCATGCACATTATAGTGTGTGTTCCTTATCTGTTTCTTCTCAGTCATTGTGCGAGTTTGCTGTTGTGCGTGATCAACAAGTCTCTACGTATTGAGGTCAAGATATGGAAACTATGCATTGCATGCGTCAGATACAGCGGTACTCCTATGACGATTAAACAACAACACAACCATGTATCTGCCTGTCTAACACCTACAAACAGGCGTCGGCGTAGGTGACTCGACTGCCTCCCCGACCTCCGCACTCCTCCTCTCTGTGCTCCAAGAGTCAACCGGCCGCATCGCTACAATTCTCTTTGCGCACCGTCTCGGCACGGCTCTTGAGCCAGAGTGTAAGATGTTTCGCCTGGCCGCCGATGTTTTCAACGATACAGCAATGGTGCTCGATTGCTTGTCGCCCGCTTTTCACAAACCAATCCGTGTGGCGGTGTTGAGCTTTTCGAGTTGCTTGAGGGCGCTGTGTGGGGTCTGTGCGGGCAGTGCAAAGGCAAGCTTGAGCGCACACTTTGCGAGCAAGGGCAATCTGGGGGAGGTCAATGCTGTGAGTGACGTATTGTTATCTTCGGACCCGAAGGTAGAGAGTTGAGACATATTTTAATCGACGTTATCTGAAAGTGGGGTGCAGATGAACGGTGATACTGACTCGTTCCTAGAAAGACTCAAGCCAAGAGACGGTCATATCTCTACTGGGTATGCTCGTTGGTATCCCCAAACCCTCCACCACTCATGCATTGACTGACGGCCATGTAGGCAGGCAGCCTTGTGGTATCGCATATAACCTCGCCTTTCGCGACGTGGACCACACTCCTCTTCCTCCTGGCTGTACACCTAGCCACCAACTATGCTGCGGTGAAAGCCGTCCGTATGCGGTCTCTTAACAGACAACGAGCCAATATCCTCTTTAGCAGCATACTTCAACACGGTGTCGTCCTGAGCCCAAACGAGGTTTCCAAACGCGAAAGAATCTTCCACAGAGGTGACGTACTGCGCTGGTCGGACGACGAAATGCTCGGGCATTGTAAGATTGGCGTATCTCTCCAGGAAATGCTAGGCCGAATGGGCGAGCAAAATACGCAGACTGGCTCACTTGCGCTTCACGCTATTCAAATCTCCGAACTGCTAACCGTCTTCACCAGCGAGGCATACATAGCATGTCCCGCCGCATCCGCAGTCGACATCTCAATCGTACTGAAAGCAGGGTGTGGACCGAATGATCAGCTCAAAGCATGGGCGCACGCATTGTTGCTTGCGAAGAGAGCCCGAGATGGCAAAGGACACTCGGGTAACAAGCCCAATACAGCATCAGCCCCGCCCAAGGATCGCCTGATTGCTGAGCTGAGGCAGACGTTGGAGGACGTCCGGGTGATGTTTGACAAGTACGGGAACGAGATGATGGGGAAGGGATGGGATCTAGATGTAGCTGCGATGGAGACAAGGGCCGGGACACGGTTGCAGATTGGGGTCCAACAGGTCGGATGACGAGATGGTTTGGACATGAACTGCCTTGCACAAGAGCCGTGAAACGAACGACGTGAAGGAGACCAAGGGAACACCCAGAAGACCATCTTGTTGGGGACGACAGGTAACCCGATTGAAGCGCTCGCGTGTCGCAGGCTGTCTTGGGATCCAGGTCAAACGGTGCTCGGTAACGACGTCAGCAGGTTGACTCACCCACAGCCGCATGGGATCGGCACCAGCATGTACGGCTGGCCCTATGTTTGAAGCAGTTTGATGACCACCAGCATGTCTTTTAGCATTTTGTTCTTTTTTTTCCCCCTCTCACACACTTTGCCAGCGCAGAGACATCAGTGCATGGCTCAAACAGTGGTTACGATCCACATCGGTCCGGTTTCATGTATACCTGGCGTCTCTTCGGCGGCCGGTGGCCGGTTCCGAAGTAATCAATGCTGGCGTCCAAGCTCAACACCACAATGTGGAGTGTGGACAGGCAATGCTGTGCGAAGAATGGAAACTAAGGCTAAAAGCCATGAATCTCGTGACAGCTAGCAGCCATGTAACAGTGCTAGCATCAGGTTGGTATGTGAAGATTTGTTCAGACTCCTGGTAGGGAAGCTGGTCCCGAGGGCGTGGTCGTTGGGGCTCTAACAAGCAAAAACCCGCACATTACGGACGCCACCATGCAAGGAGAAGACATGTCGTTCCGACATAGCTGAGGCTCGAACAAGAGAGACTCGGCCAAGTTAGCATGTGGTTTCATGGATGGCGGCCCTCCGACCGGCGTGGGATGCGGCTAAAAAATGAAACCCCACGGAGCGGTGAAGCGGGTGAATCAATCGAATACGCGAGCAGAGGGGGGCCCACTGGCTGCGTCATGTTGTGTTCCTGAGGCTCCGAGCTTTTTTTTGTTGGCGGCTCAAAATTTTCGGTGCGGATTGATTTTGGTTGACCGTAGGGGCGTGCTGAGTCGTCAGGCGGCTAGTGACGGTGTTGCAACGACAGCGCAGTCCTTCTAGAAGCGCCACAGAGGCAGCCTTGCGAAGCACAACAGGGTCAGCGCTCGGAGAAAGCCCGAGGAAGAAGCTCAACAGTATGTAACGCTACATTGAATGGGTGAGCCATGTCCGAGAGAAGGCTTCAAGGTGGAGCGTTGCAAGCGTTACGCTGGGCCATGCAGGAGGTTGATGGAGCGATGCTGGATCGACAGACAAGGCAATTGTGGCTGCACTAAGATGATTTAGGCAAAATTCTAGAAGAGAGAAATCGTTCTGGAAGATTTCTTCGGTTGCACGGTAATGAATTGGCGAAGCAGCAGGGATGAAGACGGGTGGCCTGATCATGTGGTAGCGCTCATGGAACGTCAGCATTGCAGGCTTGGCGACGAGGACGAGGACGAGGACGGGGATGAGGACTACGACAACAACAAGTACGAGGATAACAAAGGCAATTTAGACATGCATGGAGGGCAGCGATGGTGATTGCGTAGATCCTATGTAAAGCACAAAAGAAAGATGGCGTGTAGACGTCTGTTGGCACGGTGTTTGCTAGAGATTAGTGCTAGAGACGTGTGCTAGAAGGCTAGAAGAGGCGCCGGCGCATCCCAAGTGGATCATGGTTGGCTGAGGGGAGCACTTGGAGGACGAGTTTGACCCCAGGCGTAGGGCCAGGGCCAAGTGTGTGGCCGTGCGGGCTCGGCTGGTGTAAGACAGTGCAGGCGTGATTGGCGAGGAAGGCATGATCAAGTACCGTTGCGCGCGCACATCACGCGGCAGAAGGTGACATTGTCGACAAGTTGCTGCCGAGGGCTGCGCAAGGCATTGTGACAAAGCAAGCAATAGACGACATTGCCTGCATCACAAAGGAAGGTCTCCTCAGAGAGTCATTGCCGGAAGCCCGCTGGAAGCCTTCTGGAAGCCTGGGCTGTGGACATCCCATGAGCAGCGAGAGCACAAGGAGAAGAAGAAGAAGAAGCAGCAGAACGAGAACAACAAGAGTCGCGACAGCATCTCCAAAGGGAAACTGGAGAAGGGTGTGGGCTTCTTTATCAGAGAAAAAGGGCCGAGCGGCGCACAAGGCTGGGGGGAGGCTATGGTAATCTATGCAGGCAAACTAGTGCCGGGCGTCGGAACCAGATGGGAATGGCCGGACAGCGACGACAGACGGCGGCGGGCGGTGATGATTTGTGCAGTCGCGGTTTGTCACGACAGGCAGGCAGCGCTCTAGGGGCTTTGTGGTGGCGAAAGAGGGCAGCGCAGTGTGCGCCAGGGGGCAGTTTCGGCAAGGATGACGATGCGGGCGTGCGTCTTCCAGAAGACGGCAGCGGCCAATCAGCGCTCGGCAGCGACTGGCCGCTTTAACGGCGTCGGGGTGCCCTCAGCCATGGGCCCTCGATCCTTCTTGATGGCCAAACCGCTGGTGGGCCCTGGCGTGTGCGTCCTGACTGAGCTTTCCGCCCAAGCATTGACCCAAGACTCCCTGACTCTCCACTGCCGCTTGCTCAAAACCACGCTGAGCCGCACCTGTCCATACCCACGTCCTGACGCATATCGGCCTTTCTGTCTCACCACGCACTCGTCACAGCCCACAGCTGCCACCCAGTCTCCGCCTGCCGACCCACCCAACGCCTCTATATACCCGCCCATTGCCCTCGCCCTCGCCAGCACTGCCGTTGAAGACGCTCGATGCTGCCCTCGGATTCATAGCCTTGTCCTCCACCACTCCCACTCCCACTAGGTTCGCCCGAACCGAGTGCCGCCAACGCCAAGCTGGCGCAACAACTCCAACTCTGTTCCTGTGACGCCCTCGACGAGCAGAGCAGGAAAAACGCCCGCCGTGTCTACAAGCACTTCTGGAAGAGCGTCATGGTCGCACGCAAGCCCGGCACCCACGCCCTGTCCATAACAACACACTCGGCCCAGCACTCGTCGCCGTCGACATCATCCTCGCCCACGCCCTCGCTGGCCTCACTGCATGCCCGCGACGCCAACATGGCCATGTCCGACTGCACCCCCGCCCCATTGACCGTCTCAATACCCAAGAACATCCAGAGCCCCCAATGCCGCAAACCAAACCTCCAGGAGATACTCAGCAACACCGCCCCGCCGCCCTACACGCTTACCTCCTTCATGGCCTTCCTGTCACAGAATCACTGCCTTGAGAACCTCGAATTCACAATGGACGCCTCCCGCTATCGCAAGCACTACTCCAAGATGGTCAACCGCCATCCCGGCACTCCCATCTCGCCCTTGTCCGAAGAGTGTGGCTACGTGCTCATGCTCTGGCGTCGACTCATTGACGCTTACATCCGCGAGTCCGGTCCACGAGAAGTGAGTGCACAAGAAACCAACCCTGCCCCAACAAGACATGCCGCTAACACAGCCCCAGGTCAACCTCCCAGCTGAAGTCCGCGACCAACTCCTCAGCCTCTCCGACACCTACGTCCCACCCCACCCATCATCCTTGGACAGTGCCGTGGCCAAAATCAATGAGCTCATGGAGGAGAGCGTATTGGTCTCGTTCCTCAACTCGGTCAGCCCACAGAGCGCGCACCCCGCCAGCCACGAGAGCTACGCTGGCAGTAACATCTCTCGCTCATCGACCCGCAGCTACGAGGAGCGGAGTCTCCTTTCCCGATCGTCACAGCCGCCCATGCCTGCTAAACAACGAGCATCGGCACCCTCATCCCTCACTTCCGGCTTCATGGCATCTCGTCCCTTCTCGCACTCACGCTTCCACTCCCAGCCCACCTCTTCCGGTCAGGCACCCACCCGCATCACCTCGGGTTACACCAGCGGCAGCGATGCATTGACTGATGACTCTGGCAGCGCCAGTAGTCCGTCGGGAATGAGCGACCCATTGACACCTCCTGGCACCCCACCCATGAGCGATTACCCCATGGCCGACTTCCAGCAAGCCTACTACGACACGGGCTCAAACAGTGGCACCCCGAGTCCTCGCAACAGCCGGGGCGAGCACAACGGTCTTGCCAACGCCACCAGGGATAGCTGGAAGCGAGTAAGCAGCAAGTTGTGGCCCAAGAAGAAGAGCGGCAGCCAGCTCCGAGATGACGAACCAGGTGTTGTTGAGGGTGGTCTCTTCTAAGCTGCCATCCATTCAACCTCGTCATCCTCTTCACATATACCAACATTTCCACATTTAAAAGCAGAGACGATCATGACGATGCAATCAGAGCGATTTGCATCACCTAAACCTTGCATATTGGGCTGCATAACCACCGGCGTAACTGAATTTCCACACCCGACTTCTACGGGCATGCGAAGGCGCAACTGGCTCACACGACCCGGCGAGGTTGTTTTCAGCATTTTCACTTCCCTTCTCAACTTCAGACTACTAGACATTTTTGCGAAACGGCGCTGGGAAACTTCCTGGCCACACTTCCTATATCCACTTGGCGTGGCTAGGTCGAGGCGTTACCTTTGACGTTGCTTCATCATCAAGAGCATATCACGAATGACTTATTTGGGCGGACGGTTCTGACTTTCTTCTGTGTATCATTATGGCTACCTTTCACTTTTCCCCAGAATAAAACAGCGGGAAGGCTTTTTCTGTTCATAGGCATGGATGGGGGTGGATTGGAGTAGATACCAAAGCGTCCGAAACGCTAGAATCACGATTGTTACCATGTTGGTCACCAACACACAAAGTTTGTTCCCGCTCGAACATGGACGTGACGTTTTGACTTCTACGTCGAGCCATGACAAATCGACTGACGTCCTCCTTTCCTCCAATCCGATGCCTTGCATAGGAACTTTCTCGCTCGTCTGGGACTTGATGTAGATCCTCGCGTAACCTATGCGAAAGCGAACAAGAGAAAGGGATATCTCCAATCCACCATGTCCTCCGTGTTACTGGGACTTCCGTCGGTGGTCACATAGGACAGGAAGACTCCATGCTCATTTCCACTTGCATACAACTCGGCGGCATCCCTTGGATTCTTTCCCGCCCCTACTTGTACCCGTTGGGCTGGAGACGGTGTCCGAAATCCTGGGCGAATTAACTACTAGATTGGGAAAGCCCTTGATGTGCTGTTCCCTTCAGCTACGCCATTGATGTGCTTCCCGTGGCCACGGGTTGGGTAAGGGATGCGCTGGTCCCCGAGCGAGGTGCCCGGCGCGAGGGGAGCTGGGCGAAGAAGGATGTGCCATGTGAGAGGGAAAAACCGGTGTGTTGGGTGGTGAAATCTGGGGCTCGTGAGACAGGAAAGAGTGAACATGTTCCTTGCCAAGTTGTTGAGATGGATTCCCGCTGACGATAAATGTCATGGTTCATGTGACATCCTAGGCATCCGTAATAGAACCTAGAATCTCGTCTGTTCTATTTTCACACATGTTGCGTTCTACTCCGGCTCCGAACTACCCCTAACCAAGGCGTAACTTGCTCATCATCATCCGCTCCATCCTATAGAATTGAAACTCTAATCACTACATCACATACATAGCACACCGATCAGGCTCTCTCTCCCCAGCTTACCAGCTCCAAAGACTTGCAGCCGAGCCACCAGCACCCGTCCGCCGACCCCCAAAATACAGTTTGACATTCCCAATACCATTCCATGGCCCATGTCCCGTGGCTGCGGAAACCATGTTCCTTTCCAGAACACATCTCCCAATTGTCACTGCTTGCCGAGTCTATTCCACCTATCTCGTGTCAACTGCCAGCAACTGTGCCGCAAAGGAAGCGAAACCGAGTAATGTTGGTGGTGGCGTGGGTAGGAAGACCATGCACAACTCTTCCGTTCACGAGGTTGGACTTGTTTCGTTTCCATTCTTTGACATGCCTTGAGCAACTTTGCACGTGGAGTTGCCTTGCCTTGCCTTGCCTTGCTGTTCCGTGGTATCGCGAACGCCGTTACGACGTTGGTGAATATGAGTCAATGTGCCACGTAGAGATGCAGTGATACATGTATAAGGCATGACTTTAGATTCTAGATGTTGTCTCAATGGTGCATCGATGAGGTTTGTAATGTGCTATATCGTGGCCTGGACGTTGTGTTGTTGGGCGCTTACGGCGATTACAGGCCAGGGTTCTACTTCTCCAGGTGGGTAAATTCTACTTGTTTCAGAGATGGTACCTTGAGGCCATGTTCAGGCGTGACATGTTTCACTCCAACTCTGGTGGAGAGAATGACTCGATACTTGCTGGGGTTCCATGTCCGATCACGATGTTGCTCGGAGAAGGTATTTGTGTTCTTGTGTTATGTTGGCGTGTGCTGAATTGCGACGCTTGGAGCACAAGACCGCACGGTGCAAACCCTTGGCTGGAACCATGGAGCTTTGCGTGTTGCTGATATTGCTACAAGAGCTGCTTTCGTCACGGTGGTTGATGCATGTGATCTGTATTTCAAGTCATGAAGGGAAGACGCAAGGTATGCTACATGATTATCCAGCGCGATTTCCAATCAACCCATCTGTTGCAGCACCGCAGCCCATCGTAACTAAAACTGACAACGCACAGCATGCATCTGCTCGATTTTATTCAAAATGTTAATACACAATACGTGGCTATCCAATTCCCGCAACCATCTTCCTTTATTCCCACATTCTACCGTGAGTAACACCGACCTCCTTCCCGATCCACCCAAGCTTCTCGGCACCTGTACCCAGCGCACAGCCTCCCGCGCGGCCATTGCATTGCAGACGGACTTGCCACCAGCACGCCGTCCAAACCTACCAGTGACGAATGTGTTCCAAGCCTGACTATGGGATACCAAGAGGAGCCGACTAACCACTCGACGGCAACACCCGTTTGCCGATGCTTGATCGACCCCCGCGGAGGTTGAAGAGAAAGCAAGGCTGCGATACGTCAATGTGCAGGTACTATTGCTACCTAGGTATCAACGGACCTGAACATTGTGAACACTCCACTTGGCCCAGTATAAGCTAACTGCTAATACACAACCAGTCTTACATTTGCATAGCTATTACCATCGAAGGGGAAAAAAGTCGCGCAGGTACGATGACGAAGCTTGTGCAACGTAAACCACCGTCCCTGACCAGGTGCGCAGCTTACCCCTCATCTCTCCTCATCATCGTGCACCTGCATGGAACACATGCAATCTAGATACCAAGAGAGGGGGGTTCACCGAAAAGCAAACACCACAGTGGCAAAACTTCTCGAAGCCTTCTAGAAAACCGTCGCGTTTCGCTGAAGATAAGCCACAAGATTCGCAAGTGACGTTAGGATCGTAATCGACAGTCTAGTGTTGACGATCATCTCAGGATACAACAGCAGCGTCGTGGGGCACCAAAATGCTACTGATCTTCGCTCAGTAGGCAGTGCGAGCTACAAACTTGCGCAGGTGCTGTTCACGTAATATGCAATCGGAAGTGCTTGCAAGTCCCTTGCAGCGCCTCGCAAATAGGAAGATGAGGAGCTGGGTGGATGCAAGAAGTTTGTCTTAGCATTCCCGACCCCGCACGATGTTAGGGGCGCAGCTGAACCACGACCTACGCCATGTTGCGTCGAAAACACCGAATCGCACGTTTCAATGGTCAAATCTGCCACTGACCAATGGATGTAGGATCCGCCTAAGCATGCAAGTCCTTCCTCCACCCGCCTACAGTGAGTTAGCATCAGAGTTCCGCCAATTCCTCTTTCCCATTAGTGTCTTCTGCCGGAGCAAAAGCAGCGCACACTGATCGTCGCCTTCCCGTTGAGGTGAAGATGGACAGCTGTGTCAGCGGACCACGACACTAGTGAGGGGACAAAGCAGGGCCAAAAGCAGCACGCCGCTGATCGCACGCGCCATAAGACACGGTCGTGTGTGACGAGAGGCACTAAGGGGTAACTGCCGTTAGTAGTGGGCTTCCCAGTGGCCGTACTTTGCTGATCTTGGTGAGTGTGTGTGGTGGTTTATCGGAGGACAGGTCGGAGTTGAGAGGTTATGGTTAATAGCGTCTTGCAGTTATCGATGATGGCGATATGAATTGACTAAGCATAGCCTAATAAGCGATACACTATGGTTGGTCTCTTACCGGCTTGCAGGCCCCCTACTTTGTATGTACATCGGTGTAGCACTTGGGATGTGTTCCGAATACCTATTGTCTTTGCTGACAACTCCCGACCCCACTAAACTTCACGATCGGTAGAGACCTCCGTGTTTGCGCTAAACTTATCATATCAAAGAAAACGACATGATGCAAATTCCAAGTCCCCACCCAGCTAATGGACACACGGGTTGTTGGTGCATTCATCATGCCGTATAATGTGTATATGCCATGTAAAGGGCTAGAGACAAGGCGGCACGATACACCGCACCTGCATGAACCCCATGCCGCATCACGATCACCGTTGCGATCGCGATCGCATTTGTGATACATGTGGATACCAGCACAGGCACTGTAAGAGAGTGATGAGCTCCCTCCCTTACCGCATAAAATTCTAGACCCTTCAAAGTGAGCAATCAATTCAATCAAACTCTGCCGCACAGTTTGACCATCGGGCCTGTTCCCATGTCTACAGTAGGAAGGTTGCCATACACATGGAATATCGGCCGACACTCCGATCGATGATGAGACCCACGGAAATCAACACCATGTGCTATCGGTCCTACGTAAACTCACGATACCACGTACACTTTATTCAGACCACGTGCAAGCACGCAATATGAATCGTCTCCGTCTCCGCGTTGCAGCAGATACAGAACCCACTGACTGACCAATCCGGCCCGTTGACTGCCATGGTGCCGGCTGGGCGCATGTCTCATCTTTCCAATATAGTTCTTTAATCTATCCTGCTTACCTACAGTACCCAGCAAACACGAAATACGCTCGCTCTACATGCCTTACCCAATCTGATTCTAGGTTACGCGAACCCGACGGACTGGGTATAGAGATTATCGAAGACTTATGGAACATGGTCTTATTATTGCTGAGCCGTCATGTCGGTTGTTGGGGATATCATGTACGCCATATTGCTGTAAGAGGAAGGTAGAATTTGGGCATGTGTTAGTGTCATCGGGAATCTGTGTGTTGAAATCGCTACTTCTACCTGAGTGTGCGAACTCGTGTTGATAAGTAGTAAATCATTCGTTCGATACAGGCCGCGACTGGGTCATGTGAAAAAACTCGATTCCTGGTATCACGCTCTGTCATCTGATACCAATCCTATGGAGTAAGATACTCCCTCGATGACGTTGAATGAGAATCATGCAAATAAGAGTTGTTACTTATGGAACGGTTTTTATTGCAGGAATGGGAATATTCAACGGCATTTCCATACAGAATGAAGCTTTCACATCGCAAGCGAGCTTGTGGCATAGGGGTCCCATGGCTAATTTTCTTGCGATAGCATAACCATGGATGATGGCTTGAGGGTACGTTCCTTGGATGGATCTTTGTACACCTGCATGTTCGATATGTCTCCAACTGACTGGTCAGCATAGGCAATCAAGCCTATTGCCCAAGGTTGCTTCTTTCTCAAACTCAACTGCGCTTTCTTCATCGATGTCAACGCTGATTTCGTACGAGCTTGTACTGGTCGCTTCACTAGCGGCGAGAACAGCGTTAACAGTCACGTTCTTGGTCATGTCCTTGCTGGTATTGGTAGTCTTACCGAATGCAACGCGTGGTGAAGGAAATTACAAAGGACCCAGGAAACAAACAAGTCGAAACTTGAGAGGGGAAAAGAATCTTCTGGCAACGGTGGTGAGATTTAATTCTGTGTTAGTGTAGTGGAGAAAGTGTATATAGATGTCGTTGCTTTTAGTTGAGACATCAGTCGATAAGCAGATATCGTTGGCGTTATAGATGTAGCGGTGGACTACGTCAAGGAGATTTATTGCTTTTTGACATTGGGTTCGACATGTGCAACAGCCTATACGCCAACAGTCTACGTGTTTTATGATACTGCTTCCACTAGCCGACGGGCTCCACAGTGAGAAAACCGAAACTCCATCGCTTGTTACCATTACCAATTTCCGTTGCGCACCCCTTGGAGTATACGAAAGAGAAACACAATGAACCAAAGAGTCCAACTCCATATTCCAATGACATAAGAGAGGGAAGGAAGTCGGAGGACGCGCTCGAAAATAAAGCGGTGACGTAGGAAGCCTAACAACACATACGAAAGCTGGTATGTAACCAGTACGCGAGCGCACTTCATCCGAAGAACACAGTGCGCCGTAGACCGAGACTGCAACAACACATCCCACGAGCGCGACGTATCAATAGTAAGTTCGGGATTGCCCAGGGCTGAGTCGAAAAGAGCCAAGTCCAAACACGACAGTATTTCGTGTGATTTACCGATCGTCGGTGTCAGAGCGTCTCGGTGTAACGGTGCAGTGCGCTCGTTTCGTGTGTAAGTGAGGCGTGGGCAGTGCAGTGAAGGACCAACGTGACATGTGTGATTGGGTCATCGAGATTTGAGATGATAAAAGTTTCGAGCCATACGAAGGAGTATGCTCGCTACGAAGTTCAAGCCCCGCACTACTACAGTAGTGATCGCAAAAGCAGCAAGTACGTCGCGGTTGGACTTGTGTGTTACCGATACGCAAGGGGGAGATCCTACGGGGATCCTACCCAGACTATCGGACATGTTGGCGGAGGGATACGGAGGTCCGGACCGTCAACATTATAGGAAGGTATTGCCAGCTATGGGACTAGTCCATTTGCCCTTTTTGGCTGCTCGCATCTCAGCGTACAAGGCTGGATTAATGCCTTTCTTATGACACTTTTTGAGCTCAGCTTCACTCAAAGTACTCGTGTCGAAGTCGCTTGCACTCCATTTACTGCTTCCGCTTGATTTTGACCCAGATCGACTTCGCTCGACGTTGTCAAGTATAGACTGTAGAGAGCGTTCTTCTGGCATGGATCGTTGCTCCTCCGATAGAGAAGTCGTTGATCTTGAAAAGTTGGATATGTGAGCGGAGGTACGATCAACTGAGGTCGACTTTGCTATAACCAGGCGAGTAGGGCTCGGAGGAGGATCTGGCGTCTTATCTGTCAATCTTCGAGGCATCATTTTTCGAAACAGCGACTGCGGTGTATGGTGATCAAGGCTCCCGTACTCCAAGGGCGTTTCTACGGGTGTAGACGTTCGCCTCGAGCTTCCACTTGAAGAGTGCATCGACGACGGTTTAGACATGATACTTGGTGGAGGGTTGGTAGGCGGATCATCTTCCAGGGTAAACCAATCTGGCGAAGGGGCCTCGGCTTCAGGCGGATCGTGGCCATAGATGCTCTGATCATCTTCTCCCGTTGTGGTCACTGAGTTGATAGTCTCCAACGACGTCTGTCGTCGCAGATGCGGAGGAAATCGCTTGATGTTACTGATCTCTCTCTTGTTGTTTCTGTATGATATGAGGCCGCGTGGGTGTCGCCGTGAAGACGGCGGCTCAAGTGGGGGATCCGGATCAGGTGACGGTACATCTTGCACCTCCTGACTTCGAAACGGACGAGAAAATTGGCGAGCGGGATTCTTTGGCGGAGGCGCATCGACTGGATGCGACCGGAGCGGATTGAGACCTGATGAAGAGGCAGGACGACTTGTGGCTTCACCGTCAAGCGAAGCAGATCGACTGCGCGCTATTGGAGGTGGGGCTGCTCCATCTAGATCCTCGTCGGACTCGTCAAAAACATAGGTTCGGTGGTCCCTGTACTGCTTCTGTGCTTCCAGAGCGGCCCTAGGTGAGCGACGGATGGCAGGCGGAAGGGCGTCGTCAACGTCCATGGCAGTTTGTGTGAGGTTGTATCATGACATCTGGAAAAAGGAAAATAGGATGTGAAAATACCCCGATACCAGCTTGCACGTCGGGCCCGCCCAACCACCCAATGCACATCAATCATGACGCAGAACGGGCTGCCAGAATCCTATGGCGTGGGTTAGCGTGGATCGGAGAATGCCTGTACCTTGCATAGCGTTCACGATGAGATGCGTCAACATGTCAGTTGAGATTTGGTGTTGAAGTTTAGCGCAGATGCAACAGACGCGACGCTGATTGTAGGTCGTTGATTTGGGTAAGCCGTCTTGTGGAAATGGGCAAACAGCATCATCGTGTCCATCGAGGCCGAATGAGATGCGGAGACGGACGGCAGGATACCTGTCGATTACGCGGGTGGCTAAGGTTTTCGGCCGTTTTGGCCGTTGGAGACTGGGCAACTGGGCCAACGGTCGAGCCCATCACGTGCCTTGGCTGAGTTGATACAGGCGGACAGTCGAAACGCGTTTCAAGCGGGCAAGACGTATCAGCAGCTAGTTGGGACAAGGATGGTGGGTTGGAGTGGCTCCGAGCTGATGTTTCGACTGGAGGCGGGACCTGACAGGCCAGCAGCGCTAGGGCCAGGGACGGACTAGTGGATTCACCAACAACCGCAGGTCCACGGGCGCTCCTTACTTAGTTGAGTTGCACTGTCGCTGTCCACGCGAACAGCATGTATGCCACAACCACGGCCATAACCGATTCGCCGCGCACAGTACGTGTCCGCTCATCATGAGCAACGACGCGCCCACGCCCATCTCGGACGAGGAGGTGGTGGCACTCACCAAGGCGGCCTTTGAGCACTCCCGCCAGGACATTAACCATCGTGCGGCCGCCGAGACGCCCCGGGAACTGCAGCAACAGCAGCAGCCAGGTATTACGATTGACCTGGGCCACAAGAACATTGCCCGCCTGCCTGACGAGGTCATCGATGTCATCCGGGCCGAGATTGAAAGGTACACACGCACCCGCCGCCCGCGCTTGCCCCCGCTGCCTTGGACTGTGGGAGAGACATGCTGACCTGCCAGACTCGCTCTTTCCCACAATCTCCTCTCGACTCTCCCGTCCCGCCTTATCGAATGCAGACGTCTCCGCTACCTCAACGTGCGCTACAATGCCATGCGCGAAATCCCCAATGCCGTACGTTGGCCCGCTGCAACACACTGCACAGCAAGCCTCCACTGACACTACCCTAGATCCTCGACATGACCTCGCTCGAGATCCTCGACGTGAGCAGGAACAAGATCAGGTCCATACCGTCCAAAATCTCAAACTTGACCTCTTTGAAGGTGCTGGCAATCGCAAAGAACAAGATTGAGGAATTGCCCGTCTGCCTGGGCGAGATCAACAGCTTGCAGGTCCTTAAACTAGACGGCAATCCGCTCGTCTTCCCCCCGCCAGACGTGTGCACCATCAAGGACAACGCCCCCTCACCCGCCAACGAGAACGAGCGAGATGCCGTCATAGCCACCCAGGTCAAGCGCTTCATGCGCCAACACATCTCAAAAGAGCGCCAGCGGAGCGAGCTGGAAAGGCTGCGCGTCGAATCTTCTGGTGACGAGAGCTGGACCGAAAGCAACCCGGAGACACCCCGCCCGTCCAAGCGAGCCAACGGCGGACGATTCCCCGTGAGACCCAGTGTAGGCAACATCGATGGCTTCTCTGACACCAAGGCCGACTCACCTGGCTTGCCTGTCCCACCTATCCCAGTTCGTTCCCACTACCGTGTCGGATCTACAACGAGCAATGGAAACGGCGCCGGCATCGTCGTTTCAAAGCGGCCCCCAGTGTCTCCCCTCGCCCTGACAAACGGAAGCAATGAGCGTAACCGAAGCCAAAGTGAAGGCTCAGGACCTTCGTCACACCGCCAGAAGCGAATGGGCATATACACTAACAAAACATCGGAGCTGGGTTCTGTTGACGAATTACGGCGGACAAGTCACTTCCGCGGCTTCAGTCAGGGCATTGTTGTTCCTGCTCATTCTGCTGCCAACGGTCTGTCAGGCCCAGCAACCGCTGGTGCTTATGGAGATACTGGTACCGTCAGATCTCTCGCAAACCGCCCACTATCTGATGTGCGCGAACACCGGCGGAACTCGCGTGCGCCAGACATTGTCGTCGAGGCTGCAAAAAACTTCCTCTATGCCATATCCCAACTGCACGACTGCGTCTCACACATGGTACGCTCAATCAAATTGACAGCCAAGACGAAAGAAAGCCTGCGCCGTAAAGAAGACTTTTATCGCAGATACTCGACCACCTACCTCAATATCCGTGCGCTGAACGAGGTGTTGCACAAGTTCGACAGGCTGGTCGAAGAGGACGAGGAAGACGCACAGAAGCTCTCTAGAAGCGTATACATGTATGCTCTAAGATGTCTCGAGTCTTTCATGTCCATCAGCCTCTCAATCGCCGAGAATCGCGTTGAGATAACCCAGAATGCGAATGCACACATCATGCGGACTTTCCTGTTCCTCCAGCAAGCCAGTCTGATCGAGATGAGGAACGCCTGTTCGATTTTGGGTGCGCAGTTCAAGGATACTTCGGTAGCTTCGCACCGGCCTAGCAATGTCGACCCAGTGGCTACAGTACGGGCACGCCCATCAAGAGTGAACCGTCGTTTCCAGACATCGCCGCCACAGCGAAACGGTGGCTACCAGATGCCACCACCAGTCATCTTGCACAGCAACGACAACAGTCGTTCCAACACCCTGACAAGCATTAGTGCCGCAACACCGCGCTCGGGGGAGTCATTCTCAACACTTGCTCCGTCTATGACACGGTCCAACACGCTGACCAGCAGTTTCGACGAAGCAGACGAAGATGCTCAATTTGACCGGGTCTACACGAAACTGAGAAATGCATCCGACAACTGCAGAAACTCCATGCCACAGATTACGCGTATGATGCGAGAGCAATTTGATGGTCTACGACGTGATCTTGACACCGAGGATCCACGAGTGAAGGCGCTGGCGAATCTTATCGACAAAAGCAATGATGTTCAACAAATGACGAATCCCCTTGCTGGCCGTCTATCACAGATGCAGCTTAAAGACAGCTACACTCGCAACCAGCCCGAATTCTGGCAACAATGCATGGGTTTCATCAAGGTACGTATACCCATGTTTGTTTCAAATCGCAGTTTTGAGAACAGTACGTTGACTAAAATTTGTTTCAGGCTTGGCAAGAACTCGCTGCAGCGTATACCCAGCAGGGTAGAGAACACAAGCTGCTCTCTGGCGAGATCAAACAGCTTATGCGGCCACTGCATAAGATGGTAAAGGAGGCCAGTTTGGCTATCAATGACAGTCCTTGGTCGCATCTTACCAGTAACAATCCCGGTCTAATGGGTCCGCCGAGCTTGTCGTCCATCACTTCACGCACCCAACCACCTAGGTTTATGAAACAGCCCAGCGGAACCATGTCTTCGAGCGGTGGACCTTCGTTCCCAGGCCCCATCAATACGTCCATACCTGCGATGGCTTCGGTCTTCTCTGCACAGCCTTACTCTACGGCAAGCTTCGGTTCGCAAGGCTCCGGCGGTTATGGCACTCCAGTCCCGGCGACGCCACTCAGCGCCGCTCTAGGAGCCGCAGCCCAGGCGACTATCCCAAATACCCCTCGCGTTTCTCAGGGTTCCAACACGCTCAATGTCTTCGAGCGAGCTGATCGCCTGCTTAGTCAGACAAGTCGTCGCGTTTGACATGTATAAGCTCTATATACCGGCTTCAGTCTATCATTGGCCTCAACTGCGTATGGCAATGGATTGATATGTACATCGTCTATACCTGCATAGGTTGTGTTGATGCGCAGCAGCGCACGTACGCATTCGTTTGCTTTTCTGATTTCTTCTATACTTGTTTTTGCCAGAGAATGTTTCTATTTGCATACCATTAGCGACGGCGTTTGTCCGGATTTCACTCTTTTCATACTATGATGGCATATCGGATTGCATGTCGGACATGGTGTTTGGAATCGTTAACAAGGTTCATTACTGCATAGTAGGCGTTTCTTGTCTTTGGTCTTATGGAGTGGGATGGAGTGGCTGGATGAACGGCTGGACGGTGGGTTGAACCTCTGGTAGGATGATATGGTGCACATATGACACGTCTTAATGTCTACAATGCACGGTCGGTCGGTCGCAGGAGATACATTCCGTCTTACCCGCATCAATCGTTACGAAGTACATGGCTCATGCAACCATGATTCTAGGAAGAAGAAGCAAATCTCGATGTGCATAACTTGCCCACATGTGTAAATACTTTCTGAGAAGAAGCTCAGGTCTGTTACTTTGACTCTTGTGGAACTACAGCAAAGAGCTCAACCTTGCCTAAGACAACTTTGATCTCCATAGATGCTTTTCTCACTACTGCTTGTACAGCCTTCACTTGCCTAAGACAGTGTGCAGGATATCTTGAGACAAACATGACAAGTTCAAGACACCGAGAGTATTTTTTATTTCCTACTCTGCTTTCTCTAGATGTCGCTACATCATCTTCAACAACGCCGCCTAAGGACCAGAAGAACCAGGAGAAAGTTCCCGCCTAAGAGCAGCCAAGCCGCTCACGCGATACCGGTAACGTCAGGACGGTGAAGGATGATGCCGTTGCGCCATTTGCAGCTCCAGCACTTGTCCAGCCCCAGGCGAGCGTTCGGTTATCCAACCTTCTGACTTAGCCGCTTAGAACCGCTGTATAGCCTCGAAAAGCATGAGCGAGGCGAGCAAGAAGGCTCAGCTACCGCATCATCATCATCATCATCATCATCACCACCACCACCGCCACCATCGCTAAACAGCCCGCATCGACAAGATAACGCGATTTTACCAGCAGCCTAAACCAACATCAACACAAAAATAACCACATTCTACCCAAAAGCCTTTGTGGTTCATGTTGTCGACCCCACGACTGGCGTCGTCATTCATGTCTCGCAGCTAGTTTCCTACATATAGGTTGACACTGTACTCGACGTGTACTTGGATTTGTTTCTGGACAAAGTCGCCGAGCGAATTGAATTCGATGTCAGGGAGGCAATGCTGCGAACATGTCCGGTCACGGCTATGGTGCAACAGTTGTCTCTAAGGCGGCGGAAACTACCCGAGGCAATAGGGTGCGTACGACTCCACTTTAAGTAATCCGGTCCAGACATGTCTTGAGTCGTCTGTCCTGCGTATGAAGCGCCTCACCAGGATTCACTTCGGCGAATAGGGTGTTTGTGGCGACAGCTTAAGCACCTTCCGTCCTTCTGACACAGGTGATGGCGGCATGAGAAGCGGCCTTTTACATGCTGTGTAGCCTCGTGGTGCAGGATATTTCCGATCCAGCCAGAGATTCCATAGCATGACTGAAGCTGTACTTGATGACCAGTACAGCATCAATGCCGCAGGAAGGTCTTGGCACAGAGGGCCGATTAATAGAGAAACAAAAAGTAAAGTCCTCCGAAGCACACCAGGCCACCTCCGAGATCCGTCGCTTTCGACAGTGTTTTTCGTAGTATAGATGTTTGCAAACATGATACCAGATGCGATGAACGGGAGAGCCCCCGTGGGGTCCGGAACAAGTAGATCCTGGAACCAGAGTATGCCTTCCGCTGCCAACGAAGGCTCGAACCATGCAGTAGATGTGACACGTCTAACAATTTCACCGGCTTCGTTCGTCATGGTTGCACCTTGGCCATTAATGGCCGCAACCGCCATACCTATCAGACCATCATGGGCGCCGCATTTCTGCCGTATGACCTCAGCCATAGCGATGAATATGGGAAATTGGAACAAGGTCCAACTAATTTGGCCACGTAGACTGACATTCCACCTCTTGTCCAAGGCCGATATCGTGTCATCTACTTCTTTCTTGACCGTTAATTTGGCCTGCTTGATGGTTCGGAAGTTACCACGCTTTAATATCTCGTCACGTTTCTGAAAAGCAAGCGCTTGTCGGAGCGGATGGAGACCAATATACCGTGCCATGAGGGCGCGCGAGTAGGCTCCAGCTGTAGTGACAAGAAGACCGCGAACAAGGAAGGCGGTGAGGGGTATGGCAGCATACCATGGCACGGTGGCGTGGACGAGCGACATGAGCTCGTGGGGAAGGTACAGGAGGGCATCGGCGACGGGACCTTGTCGCGGGGTCGAAGCATGGAAGGCGCGTGTTGGCTTGGAGAATATTGGAGGCCGAGAGGGCATAGAGGTGCGCGAGAGCCATTGGCATGCTGGCTGCCGCAAGAGGCGCGACGACAGCATGTTGTGATAAATTTGGGATGCTTCAACTATCTAGTCAAATGTCCGACTCGCGAGAGAAAGAGGCTCCTGCTAGCGCGTCAGGGTTCCATGCTCTCGGGCCGGGGCCAGGAACCGATGTCATCCCACCTGAACAGCTGTCGCTTTGCCTAAACATTTGTCCATGGCCTGAGTCTTACGCTGTCTGTCTCCTCCGCCGTGCCTCGATTCGGTGTCGCTTCGAGATGGGTCTTTTACCCATCCTCCTCTCGCTACTAGTGCCCGCACTCTTGGCTACCGTCTTTCTCCCCAAGACCCTGCGCTTTGCTGCGGAACTAGTGGGACAACACTTGCGTCGATCTTCCCGTACACGACGAGAGCTGTTACTCGCCAGGGTAGCCAGCGAGACCAAGACATTTGAGGCGCAGCAGAAGAACAAGAAGACAGAGGATGAAGACTGGGAACAAGTTGGAAACACACCTCCTAGTGGTACGGTGAAGCATGGCCAGGCTGACAGTGAATGGCATGGTATTGTCGGCTTCTTCCACCCTTTCTGGTACGCGTGGCATATTCTGAAGTGCTGCTGTATGGTCGCTGACATGCTGTTTTTACAGCAACGCAGGAGGCGGTGGTGAGCGAGTCCTATGGGCTGCGATCCGAGCACACCAAAAGCGTTGGCCAAAGGCTACCTGCATAGTCTACACCGGTGACCATGATGTCGACAAAGCTGCCATTCTCAAACGTGTCAAAGATCGTTTCAACATCCAGCTACACCCGCCGACCGTCCACTTTCTCTACCTCACAACCCGCGACTGGGTACTCGCAAGCACATGGCCGCGTTTTACACTACTGGGCCAATCTCTCGGCTCCCTCGTCCTTGCCTACGATGCCTTCAGCCTCCTTGTACCGGATATCTTCATAGATACCATGGGTTACGCCTTCGCTCTTGGCCTGTCGTCCTTCCTCTTCCCAACCGTACCCACCGGTGCATACGTACACTACCCGACCATTTCCACAGATATGCTCGATTCGCTACAAGTTGGAGGTCAAGGTATAAATGCAGGAACAGGCACAGGATATCGGGGTATGGTGAAGAAAAAGTACTGGCAGCTCTTTGCAAAGCTATACAGCAAACTCGGTAGTACCATTGATGTGGTAATGACAAACTCCACATGGACGCAAAGCCACATCAAAACTCTCTGGGAGCCATATCGTATCAAAAGGAGCAAGTCAATCGACATCGACGTCGTCTTTCCGCCTGTAGCTGTTGAAGAAGTCATAGAAGCCGTCCCAGTCTCCGAGTCCAGCGAGAAGAATCGTGGCCCTTACCTCCTCTACATCGCGCAGTTCCGACCGGAAAAGAATCACAGACTTATTCTTGAGGCCTTCGCATCATTCCTACATTCCACACCTGAACTTCCAGCATACCCCAACCATACCCCGAAGCTCGTCCTGATTGGCTCAGTACGAAACTCTCACGACGATGCGAAGCGTGTCTACGAGCTGAGGTTGCTAGCGCATGAGTTACACATCAAGGAGAATGTGGAGTTCATATGCGACGCGCCGTGGCCGCAAATGCTCGAGTGGATGCGCAAAGCTAGTGTAGGAGTGAACGCCATGTGGAACGAACATTTCGGTATTGGTGTGGTGGAGTATCAAGCTGCTGGTATGATCTCTGTGGTCAACAACTCTGGTGGGCCTAAGCTAGACATTGTGATTGAGGTCGATGGAAAACCCACTGGTAAGTCTGATGCACATCACTCTGTCAAATCTATATTATTGCTCACGTACAACCAAGGTTTCCATGCCACCACTGCAGAGCAATATGCCGACGGCTTCCGCAAGGCCCTTACTCTTTCACCCGAAGACACACTCGACATGCGACAACGGGCTCGAAGGTCATCTGAGCGTTTTACTGACCAAATGTTTGTGGACAAGTGGCTGACTAATGCCGAGAAGCTTGTTGCTCTGCAAATCAAGCGGGCGTCGAGATGAGAGTCAACTAGCCAACTGGGAACATGGCGTTATACTGAACAGCATGGGATTTCTTGATACCACACATGAGCATTGGGCGGTTGCATCCTAGGAGTCAAGCATACGATATATATTCAATTTCTTGCACCTACATATCAAGACCATAGTATGATACGTGTGACGACCACAGAGTTGATGAATAAGATTGGGGAGGAACACGTGAGGGTAGTGCAGAATAGGTTTTGTCTTATTCTTGTTCCTCTTTCTAGGAACTCAAGCTACATAACGATATTGAATGAGTCATCCATCGTAAGAAGTACGAAAATCCACGATTGATTCTCCCAGAACTTGTTCCAAGTCATCCACAGATGTCTTCACATTGTGGAGCATAACTTTTCGTAACACGAGCATTAAGCGGCCAAATGCCAATCGGTAGATAGTTACCAAGACAGTGCAACGTAAACAGCATGATTGCAGCAGAAGTGGACAAACATCAAAGTGGCAGGACCAGCCAAGCCAACGGAAGCAGTGGGGATAATAAGTCAGATCACAACCGCTCAAGCTCCTGAAAGCGCTCAACAGGGTCAGCAAAAGACCGCGTCAAGCCTACCGAAGCCCAAAAGTCGTCACTAACATCTTCTCTGCGCGCAAGACGCTCCAGCAACGACCGCGCGTCACGGAGCTCCTGATCTAGTGGCGGCGGCGGCGGTGAGTCGGCACGGACAAGTGGAGGAATGCTCTCGTTGTCGCTGGCGCTCGCAGCTTCCTCGGAAGGTCCATCAAGCTGTGGTATTTGTGGCCTCTGCGCCACTTCTGTCTCGACATCTCTCCAAATGCCTGAGTTGTAGAAGCTGCGAACGACTTCGCTGGCGTCTCGGGATCGGTCGATTACGCGGAGTGAGTAACGCTCTATATCTCGCGCAGGAGGCTCGTTGGAGAAATACGACGGCCGCATTCTTCGGCGAGGCTCGGTCGAGTGTGAGATACCCAAGCGGTTTCTAAAAGCCTCTGTGCCTGTACGACGACGTATACTGCCACGTATATCCATTTCTTCTTCTTCGGTATCTGATGCTGTGTCATCCTCCGAGGTATCGCATGCCCGCATGGATTGCTCGTTTTGTGGAGGTGAGTGACGTCGGGATGGCACTGTAAGATGAGTTTGCGAGGATGCCGCGGAATTGGCACTTCCCGCTCGCGAACTGGTATGCGAGTTTGTGAATGAGGCTGACGCTGCGGCTGATGCAAATGATGACCCCGCAGTTGGTGCGACAGGGTCGTCGACGACAGTCGTGAGAAAACTGTCCCATTGCAACTGATCGTCAAAAGGGCTGACACTGCGATTTCGGTCGCCCAGGCCGTCCAGTGTAGCAACAGGGCTCCAAGACTCGCGCAAGGAGCTGGCGGGTAGCGGTCCATCCGCAATAGTACGGCGACCCATCCTGCGTAGTGGAGGGAAAGCTACGGCGTTGTTCTCGCCTGTCTCGTGGCTTTCCTCGTGCACATTCGCAATGTCGCCTCGCGCCCCAGATGGGTCAGCACGGGGACTCTGGGAACGTGTTCGCGTTGATCGTCCAGTGGCGCGACGGTATGAAGTGTACCCTCGCAGGCGTGAAAAAGGGTCATGCGCATCGCGTTGTGCTTCTGCTTCTGACGTCCGCGAAGCTGCAGCTGGCGCAAATCCTGGGGTGAAGGCTGCTAAGGGGCGCTCGTGGTCGGGACTGGCGCGCATCTCGTGGGCGCGCATGTAGCCATCAAGACGACTGCGCGAACGGCGCACGCTGCTCTCGTCGCGCTGTAGAGTAGGTGGGTGCCTCGAAGCCTCGTTGCTGCGGTATTCGGTCCTCGAGACTTCAGGAACAGGTGGCGGCGCCAAACGCGCGCGGTGTGACGAGCGAGGTATCCACTCGATATGCGGAGCAGAGATGAGGAAGTCGGTATCGAGTGTGCTGCGAGGACGCGGTGATCTGTTAGGTCTTGCGCGGCGCCGGATGGGTGAGCGTGAGCCGGCGATGTCGGCTCGAAGTACGTCTTTCTCCTTTGCTTCCTCGCGCTTCACATTCCATCCGATCGGTATACCCATTGCGCAAGATACGTGAAGTTGGGGATTCCAAGAAAGATGGGTGTGGTTGCCGTGTGGATGGTGACGCGCCGGATGATGCTAATGGGGATGGGTCGGAGAAGGAACTAGGGCGGCGCACGTCGCAACCGCCTAGAACAGAACTGTGAGGCTGAAGCGTCTGGGGGAGGCGCAGCCCCTCGACATGGAATATCTACATCGTCGGGCATTGTCTGACCAATCTCTACGTAGCAAGCTCCTTTGGCTCTAGGCACGAAGCTTGTGCACTTTACTACAGTACACAGCCTGGAGTTTCTACACCAAACAAGTCGACGTCTTTGGCAGGCGCGACTGTGATCGCCAAGCCGTGGCTGCCTCTCACGCTAAGGGCGCGCCTGTCTGCAGCTTCTGGCCCACTCGTTCTAGTGAGTCAATACGCATCTGCAGGTACCTCGTTTCAAAGCATCGCGTGTCCGCCTAGGCCTCGGGATCCATAGCTGCCTACACTACTATAGACCACTTCTCTTGTGGCCATGATCCAGCCTGGTTTGGAGAGGATCAGTCAGCTCGTGAAGAATGTCACCTTCCCCTGGAAGTCAATACATGTCGCCGGCACCAACGGCAAAGGCTCTGTATGCCACTTCGCATCGATGCTGCTTTCTAAGAGACTCAAGTGTGGGAAGTTCACGTCTCCACATCTCGTAGACAGGTAGGCACGCTGTCAAGTGAGGTGGTCGCTGTCTAACATTGGCAGATGGGACTGCATATCCATTAACAACAAGCCCGTAGAGGAGGCGCTCTTTCGCAAAATTGAGAAGCACTACATTGATCTGAACATGAGAAAAGGCATCAACGCTTCAAATTTCGAGATCTTGACCGCCACTGCCTTCCACATCTTTAACGAAGAGCAAGTACAGGTTGGTGTGGTTGAAGTTGGTATGGGCGGAAAGCTCGATGCTACCAACATACTGAACAATCAAGTGATTTCTCTAATCTCAAAGATAGCGCGAGATCACGAGAGCTTCTTGGGCAGTACTTTGCAAGAGATTGCACACCACAAAGCTGGTATCCTCAGGCCCCATGTACCCTACCTCATCAACCCCAAGAATGAGAAAAACGTCATATCTGTCATCAACGAGTATGCAGACGAAATTGCTGCAGGACCTCGTCTTGAGTACGATCCCCCAGGCTTTTCCAAGGCACTATTCCACAACAAGGACTGGCTACCAGCACAACCAGTCCATCAAGAAAACATGATCATAGCTGCCATGGCTGCAAAGACCGTAATGGAGAGCTTCGGTAGAGAGTATACAACCTGGGACATGGCGCGCATACTGCGGAAGTCTAGACTCGAAAACCCGGGACGATTGGAATCGGTTCAAGTACCGCCTATCTTTGGTCAACGAGCCACGATGTCATCGAGGGCGTTTAAAGGAGAGTCCATCCTGGTAGATGGAGCCCATAATCCTGATGCTGCCAGAGTGTTGAGTCAGCATGTTCAAAAATTTCAGAGGAGGAAGAAGATCCCTAATGAGGGTCGTGTCCCACGAAACGGATGGCCTGTTACATGGGTGCTTGCCATGACCGAGGGGAAAGATGCACATAAATATCTAAGGGAGATACTACAACCAGGAGACAATGTCGTGACTACGACTTTTGGTCCGGTGGATGGAATGCCTTGGGTCAAGCCTATGGATCCCAGTCGACTTCTCGACATGGCAAAATCTGTCGAGCCTGGCATCATGGGATTGGTTGCATCAGAGGGCGGCCCGCTTCGAGCGTTATGCACAGCTAAATATCTCAGAGATCCTGACCGACCTATCGTTTTGACAGGCAGTTTATACCTTGTGGGTGATGTACACCGTGAGCGGCGGCTGCGACCGAACAAGGTGTATTGGGAGGACCCAAAGTTTGAGGACGATAGAAACAAAATCGCCGCAATGCTTGAAGAGGAGAAGCACAGAGTCAATTGGTTACTAAGCGATACTGATACATTCGGTCTCACCACTGATTCCTTCGATGAATTGAATCGGAAGAGTGGTATATGGAGAAAGCAGCTGGCAGAGCGGGAGAAGCAGAGAACCATACGAGAAGAGATTGCGGCTCTTGATGAAAAAGTGAAGTCTCTCACAGAAGAAGAAAAGCTTCTTGGACTAGAACAACCCTCAGCTATAACAGAAATCACGAGATTGACAACACTAGAAAATGGTGCGAATTTAAGCTATCATAAAACCTGGTAAGTCGGCTAAGCGGACCACAGCAAGGAGCGTACAAAGGATTAATGGAAATACAGGGCGGACAGGCTTCCAGGAGAAAAATTCATACCTGGACAGCGAACACGAAGATACGGACGAGGACTTCCGCCTCGAAAGGAATAGAGGACCTCCGCATCGAAAGAAATAGAGGACGACTCCAAGCTGCATGTAGTAGGTCAAACACGAGTAGCAAAGACGAGTTGTTGTGTTAGCGTTGTGCGCGTGTATCATTGTTGCGATGACGACTGACTGTGGTGCATTTGCAGTCAAATGATTACCCTGTTGTACAGTCTTTGTTTTCATCAGCCTCAGCCTCCTTCTGCAAACGATGACATAGCGCCGGTCTCACTCACCAAGAGCTGCGGACGTTTGCAGAAGTTGGCTTACTTGCTTCTGATTTTCGCCAACCACACCCTACCATTTCCGGCCTTACTGTCAATCCTGACAGCCTTCCTGCTTCTTCATGTACTCTAAACCACCCAGCTTACCCAGCTGAGGCTGTTTGCAGCCTTCGACTCGATTCTTCTGTACGACAACTCCGCTTTGCGAGGCATGGAGTGCAAAACTGAGAATATTGGAGTTGCGAACCATGATATCGCTAGAGTTGAGGTGAGCGTGCTTCCAAAGTACAGTCGGCATGTTCTTACTTCTCTGAGATCATTGTGGCGTTTGCTGTATTAGCAGGCTTGTCATTGGTGCTTGCATGCGTC